TTCCGTTTCAATTCACCCTAAGCATTTGTTTCTTTTGTGTCAGTGGGTTCAGGTTGGCTCTTTCTTTTTTTTTTTTTTCATAATTTAGGATATTTTCTGTAACATGTAGATGTTTCAAGGTACCCTGAAGCATAACTTTTTTTCATGTTCTCTGCATCTCAACACTTTACAGTGACGTCCCTTTGGTCCTCTGCTCGAACCTGTAGTCCAGAGGTGGACAACCATGTGCCGTGGAGAGCTGAGAGGCTGCAGGTTTTCTTTCCGACCCAAAACTCCACCAGGTGATTTCACTGACTAGTCCCTGCTCTCTGCTTGGAGGTAAGGTAATCAGTGAAATCACCTGGTGGAGTTTTGGGTTGGAAAGAAAACCTGCAGCCTCTCGGCCCTCCATGGCATATGGTTGTCCACCCCTGCTGTAGTCATTTAGGATCTGCTGTGTCAGATAGCGCACCATGGCCGTTATATTTTGAAAGTATACTTAATATACTTTTGGAAGTACTTTATAAAGAGATCAAACTATACGCTACATTATAACTTTTTATTTTTTTACTTTTATGTAGAGGTCATTCTGTATCAGGTTACTTTAACTGCAAAGCTAATCCAGTATTTTTTGTTACAGCAAAAAAGTCACTCAAATAGGGGAGACCAGGGATGGTTGTACCACCAATCAGTGATAACATAAGAGTCTCATTATCATGTCAGAGTGTACCCACCCCATTTCCAGTTCCACATGATGATTTTTAAGGAATTTTTACTATTGCCATTGAAACCATACAACTTATATTTAATAAATTCTAATTTCTCAGGCAACAATTTTATATATATATATATTTTTTCCATCACTCTCTTCAAACCTCTGTGCTAATGCAGCTATATAAATACAGGTTGACAGAAGTGGGGTTGGTTGTAACACATGTAGAGAAAGTTTTATGACCATCCTATGTATCCTTCTTTGCATTTTATGAATTGTAATTATTTTTCAGAATGGAGGTGTGCCAACTATTTTTTCAGAGCATCTGAGAAAGTGGCAAAAAATAATCAAATTATAGAATGACGAAAACTGTAATGCATCCAAATTTGTTTAATTCGTCTTACAATTACTACAAGGTCAGCTTATGCATCCATACGCATTCACACACTTGTACATTTTGGCTAATTGTTCCATTGACCTAGTATTTGTTAAAGAAATGCTCTGTCTTTGACATCAACTTACAAGGTTTATGATGTTCTTACAGAGGACTGAATTGGTTACTTGGTCGTAAACAAATGTGGGTACTTTGAATGAAAAATTCGCAGAAAGTAGTTTAAAAGTTCAGTCAGTGACAGCTACTGGAGAAAAGTGTTGGGACCACTCCCGGTCTCCCCTATTCCAATGAACTGGTCTGGGACATGTTCCTAATTGCGTCTCTGTTACAGGTAGACACTGATGTAAAGATAAAGCAACTATGCATATCAGACACACATCAGGGCCAATAATAAGCTTGTCGTTTGGTGTCTTTTTTGCATGTTATTTTCTGTCACTGTGTGATGTGATCCTGCATGATTATGTGCCGTGATACACAAACCCTATCATGAAACAAAAATCCATACTCAGTCTGAAAGCTGCGTCCTTTTCTATTGATCGCTCCGTGTCCTATGAGGACTAGTTAAAATGGTAATCATCAGTTAAGGAGAGGCCTGAGGGTCCGTGAATAAAACACAGCCTTCAGCTACACTTTTCTCCGCCTGTGGAGAAACACAGGGGACCGGGGAATATTGATCCACAAAATATCTGCACGGCTGCTAATTCAGCCCATGTGTTCACTTGAAATGCTAAGATGCAGATCTTCAATGCTGTTTGTTTTTTTAGTGCTCCGTGGATGCTGATCTTGTTACCGGGGAGATCTTCAATGAGGCAAAATTTAATTAAAAATCTGATTAAAATTGCACGTCTGCTGACTTTCATAAAGGGAGAAGCAGCACAGCCACACTGACCGATGCACCCTCTCTCCCTGGTGACCTATAAAGAGTTTGCCCTGTCATGTTGGGAGTCAAGTCTGCAGCCCTTCAGGAAGCTCTGGAGGGCGAGGTCGAGATGTTCAGGTACTCTTTGCCCTCTTTATTCCTTCTTTTTTTTTTTTTTGTTTCATCAGAAGGGGAGTCTGCAGAGTTCTGGTGCAATCAGCAAAGCAGTTCTGTGACCTTGAGTTCAGCTATTACACCGTCCTCCCAGCCTCATATAACCCACATTTATCAGGCTGGAGCTGCTTCATATTCATGGCACAGAGCAATCCTCAGCACATAAATAAAGCATTCCTACAAAACACTGCAGTAATAACCGACTTCCATTTTGGCCAAAGCTCAACCCATGTGAGCTCCTTTAAGGGCTCAGGGTGTGTTTGTGTGTCTGCTTTTCATGCATAAACAGGACATGAACTCGACCGCCCAGCTAGTGCCGCCTGGAGATTGCAATTTTCATGAACCATAGTAACACAAGTGTTCGACAAAGCTGCATACAATGAGAAAAAAAGCAATTATTTAAATGATCAAATCCAGTTGTGCAAAAAAAACGATCAACGAAATGTTACTGAGGTCTCTAATAGGTTGTTATATCTAATTGCTCTACCTCTTAAGATTTAAAAGAGTCTATGCATGACCTTGTTTACACCCGTTAAGGTCCTTTCACACGGGGAGCTTTTTTGTCGTGCGATTATCTCGGACATCAATATTTTTTTTAGAACCTGTATCCTGTCAGTTCAAGCGTTCACATCAGCGACGTTTTCCCGTCCTGTGATATTGCGGCATTTATTTTTTTGGATAATGGTCGATTTTTCTAAAGTTTCGCATACTGTGTGTCCACTTCTGACCAATCAGATTGCGTGTTGTTGCGACGTCAGATTCACTGGTATATCCAATATGGCCGACTGGCTAATTGTTTACGTGTCAGAGAACAGAGTGATTTTTGATAAAAAACATAAACATTACAAACATAACAACCTGAAGGACAACTTGTGGAGAGTCATAGCGTCGGATTTCTCATATGACGATGGTTTGTGTGCTTTAACGGTTTGCAAAACGTCTTTGTTTTAACTTTCATCTGTGCTAAGTAACTTTAGCTCGTAAGCTAACCTGTTCAGATACAAGACAACGTATGTATTTTCTCTGTCTCAAACTCAATCGCGTTGCTGTCACAGCACCATTAGGTCTCGGTTGTTACCTTATGTTTATGGATTATAGTTTAATGTGCTTATCTGGTACTGGCCCCGACTCAGTACATGCTATCTATAGTCCAGCAGAATATTATGCTAGATGCTACAGACAACCATCTCAATACTAGTGTCTAATCAGAACTGAAAAACACTCATTCTGCTGTTGTCAGTCTTCTCGCTTCCACCCGGGACGCGTCTTTTTCCCCCCGGAAAGTCGAAAAATCGCATCGAGCTTGATGTGTATAGTCAGGCGCGTCAAAATTCTCCTCTGAATGTGTAAGGACCTTTATTCTGTAAAGATCTTTATAATGTGACAATCTGACAGCAACCTGGACAGAAGCGTACAATACTAAAGGGAGCTCACAACAGCATTTTAACAGGCAACTAGTAAACCCATTGTGTGTGAAAAACTGCAAAAATCCAAGTATGATTAAGGTGCTTTGGCTTATTTTAACACAAGGGGCAGAGGACATCTCCATCTGTATTTTGTAAAGGTGAAAAAGACACCACAAACAGAATATTTGTGTCACCTTTTTTGTCTTCCCCCTTGGCAGAATTAAAGCTTTTTACAAAGGCTGGAGGACCTAAAAGCGTATTTTTCCATAGTCATGGGTCACACCACTACCATTGCAGCTTACAAAACTTTGTCCTCCATGCACAGCTGATGTTTCATTGTCATTTACCTAAAAAATGGGTTTTCTATTTGAAAATGACAAAAGAAAAGAAAAGAGAGAAAGATTTTCAGTAACAGAAAAAATATATAGAAATCTGGACGCAAAGTTTTAAAATCCAACCGGATATTCCTAGGAAAAAGGTTGACGATTGTTCTCATACTATTAGTATAAATTTGAATCGTTTAAAGCTTAGAGCGACTGACTGAGCCGCTGTTTTTTGAGAAAGGCAGAGTATTTTTTAATCCATTTGTACAGTTGATGCAAAAACACAGCCACAGTTTGTGATAATCTGTAGGATTAAAAGTGTTAATCCTTTAAAAACATGGGTCAAAAGCTTTGCATTCCCATCGTAGCGAGCAGAAAAAAGCCACGAGGCATCATTTTCAATCTCACATCAACGCAACTTTAAATTGGATGAGTGTGACATTGATTGAAACAGTCTGTAGCAGAACTTCCTGACTGTGCAGGAAGATAAAGTGCACCCTCAGCAGAGTCCTCTTTTGAAGGTGCAAAAACAGATGAGAGGTTTTAATGAGAGATGTCATGTATCTGTCACCTCCTGCACTGTAAACATATGTATACAGCATCTCCCTGCTACTCCCCGTTAAAACCCCAGAAGCGTGCATGGAGAGCATATTAAAGAAAACTTTCAAACTCTATGAATCCATCAGAGCAACACTCCCTGAGGCCTGCTGTATCACTTATAGTGCAGGAAAACTGCAGGCTTGATTCAGTTTGCGTAATGAATAAATCATACAGCTTCAATGAAAAATGGATCATTTGTCATTGCCTTTCAAAACTATTCAAATACAATTTCTTATTTTTTATTTTTATTACGACAACAACTAAATTCATCTCACCGCACTTTATATTTTTAAACAGTGCTACAAAAAGAAATTAATCTGAAAGAGCAAAAATGCTGCAGTTCTTCTACTGTCCACTAGAGGCTGGTAACAACAGCCGACAATGTCCTTTTAAACACAAATATTACACATGGTTATAGTCTGGTATGTGACTGATAAGCATAGTTTAGCTCAGTGGTAGGAATGAGAGGGTCGGGGGTTCGAGCCAAGAGAGAGAACTACATAAACATAATCCATTCAGCATCAAAGCCATGGCCATCTTTTGGCTTTTCCTCTTCACCTTCCTCCTGTGTTAGCTTTTACTACGTACCCAGCATGTTAAGGGTCGGTTTTGACCCGTGTCTTAAATCAGCTGTAAATTACACTAAAAACAATTCTCTATCATCCAATTTGGTTCTCATCTCTAGGTTACCTTGTTAGGCTTCATTATCCATGAAAATATTGCTGATAATAGTTTTTGTTGTGGTCCTCTGGGCCTTTCTTTGTCAGTATACCCCTCACACAGACATCTATACTGAATTGATCATGTCTGGACATGCCCAACGTTGTCTTTTGTGCAGGAAAAAACAGGCAAAATGAGAATTCCTAGATTTCACATGATTGGAAGAGGATCTGACTGTCAGTGTGGTGCCCGATAGTGCACTTATGATTTCAGTTTTTGCTCTGATTATCAGATATTGATCTAACCGGGTCAACAGCGACCCTAACATGACAAGTGCCGTAATTCTAATAAGAGCATTTTATAATTTAGTCAATTTAACTTTTTGATTTTTATTTTATTGAAATAGAGTTTCCTGACAAAGTCATAAAGTTTTGATGCAAAAAAAGCTAATTTAAGTGGTTCTTTTAAGCATTTAAAATCAAAAACGGGTTGGTGCAGACCCTAACACAGGAGGAGGGTTAAGAAACTTACTTATTGATAGCATCACCTCAGGTTTTTATATATTTTTTTATGAAAAAAAAAAAAAGTACACTTCTTCCTTCTGGTTTATGATTCTGTCAGCTAGCAGCATGACTAAGCATATTTTAGTTTATTGTGTAAGTTTTAAATGTCTAGATATCTGTTCTGCTGTTGTTTTACAAACTTTACTTTCATCTTACAACGTTGAGAAAATCGATGCTGTACGTTTATAGGAGGGTTCACAACCGTTAGATCGTGGTAACACTTTGAATATGCAAGTCATGGTCAGGTTGATGTAGTATCTGAAACCTTAAACTTTAAAACCATTAATTCAAAGTTTGATGTCAAATTGAGCTTGTGCTGAGTTCATTGTGAGTTATTTTGTGTTTGTAAGAAATATTTACATGTTGCCAAGTGAACTTGCCAGCTAGCAACAAGTGGCACACAAATGTTATGTATTCTTTTAAAAGTTAATCTTCTCCTGTTTCTACCATATCAGGAGGCTTTTCTATGCCTCAGATAAACATTTCTAGCCATGTACGGATTAATACTTCTGATTGTGTGTTTTCGTGGTCTGCTTATATCTATTTATCTCTAAAGAGCCAGAAAACACATTCTTAAAGCCAAAAGTATTGCTTATAGGTGTTGAATGTGTGTTTTGGATGCAAACTTGTGAAATTCAGTATGTGTTTTAGTTTTTCTTTTGTTTCTATGGTATTGTATTTATTTTCACACTCCCTGACCTTTCGGAGAGGCATATCACACCCCAGGAGTGCGAAATAGTCCTCTTGGTCACTAGAGAGTCTCCTGTTTCTCACAGAAATAACAAATTTTAATTTTCAGGCAGAAATGTCTGAATATATTTGTGGTTGGTTGTGCATTACAGACAATATTCATGTTTTATGTGCAGTCCACAGGTTGGATTGAAGGGATAGCGCTGCCTTGTTGGCAAGATTACAAACATGAATCATGCGATAAATGATTATGGCAACATTCATGACTTACTGAAACTAACTTGTTAGGAAATAAATCAAACCAAACTGCAAAAATAGTCTGAACTCTGCAGTCTGGGGACTATCAGTCAGACTATCCTCCCTTAGTGAAACCACCTCTACAGTTTGACCGTCTCCCTCTCCTGAATATTTCCAATCATCCATCACTCTCCAAAGTATCTAACCCTCCATTTGAGAGTGCAGTTTAAAAACACGGCTGGACTTTGTCTGGAGCTGGCGAGGAAGATAACGCCCCCCTGCTGCACTCTAACTCTGGGATAGGTTTCAGAGTTTTTTTAGTCACATGCCAATATTTTGAATACTTGAGAATTACCCTACTTATTTCTCTTATCTAAATATTATAACTAAAGTGCAAGTTTGGATGTGAGGATTTGGGTGTTTTGGAACCTCCAGCTGAGTTCTGCAGCATTAGCACCAAGACCACGTCGGTTTCTGAGCCTCTGCATTAATCCATGTTCCATAAGGCTGGTACATAGTATGGTCTGTGTGCTTCCCGAGCAGACAGGGGAGAAGACACTGAGGAAGAAGGATTCATGAATAATAATGCAGAGTGAGGCCCTGAACAGTAGCTATGAGCTTTTTATTGGTGTGGGATAAATCCATACTGTAAGCCTCACCTGCTGGGAGCCGCGCTACCCAAAGCCGATGTCATCCCTGATAATTTATAGATGCAAAACAGAGGAAAACATTCATCACAAGTGTGCTGCTGTCTAAGAGCCAAGAAAATGCTTTGTTTCTAGCAATCGGAGTGAAAGACGACATGCAGCAACACACGGAAAATACCCACAAGACACCTCTGCTTTCTCCGGTTTTTATTGCCCCTGGTAGCTGCAATCCGCCAATGCTCCTCGCCTGACTTTGTTCAACTTCAGCTGCAGAAAATGAAGATATGTTTCCCTCTGAAATGAACTGATAAACCCCTGATAGGGAAAGGCTGCCAGAGCATGACATAAAAAAAACATAACATCAATATATATGCATTTATCCTGCAAAGGCCCTCTGCATGGTCACATATTTCATTGACACTGAAGCAAAACAGACAACATGATAAATTACAGATCCAAAAGCATGGACCCAAGACAAATAGTTCCCATGCATATTTTCCAGACAGAGAGGACTTTTGAGGACAGACTTTAAAACTTGCATGAGTAAAAGAAGAAGAAAAAAAAGAAACGGAAAATATCACCTTAATTTAGCCTTGAAAACTTTGCTGGAAATGCGCTGCCTTACAAACACTTTAAAGTGCGGACGAGGAAAATACAATCAGAGTTTTCTGCAGAACTGATTCACTAAAGCAGGTGGAGGTTAAGTGTTTTCTTAGAGGGCACCTTCAGTACAGTACCTGCAGGCATGGACTCTTAAATCCTACACAGCAGCTCTTATTTGTTGGTCATTACCCAGTTTAAGTCTGACTGGTCAAATCCCACATCAATTTTAAACAGCAAAAGTGATACCAGGAACTACCTGACCACACATAATTGATAAATCCAAAGAAAGGTGTCCTGCTCATGTCATGCCTGTTTTTTCATTTGATTAATCAGTCGAACTGCTTATAGTTGGACTAACAAACTTGGATTATGAGGATGGGGATTGATTTTCTCGAATGTTTCTTAAAGCAATATTCCAGCATAAAATTAATTTAGGGTCAAACACACTATAACATCTAGTTAGACACCCCTCGAGAGATGAATGTTGCCGACCACTCTAGTTATACCAACTTTTGTAACGACCACACAATAGCAATACACAGCAGTCTGAGGAGCCATAAACAAACCTCAACCAAAACGCCACTCTATAGCCACAAATAATGCTCAGAACAGCACCTAACTTCATCAACAGTACATATAGGGTCCTAGCCATAGTACTAGCCACCAAACATCTTATTAACTTTACCTAATTTCTTTAGCAAAAAGACTAAACACAACTCACCTACTCTTCCAGCAGCCACTTGTTTGTAGCAAGACCTCAGGCCAGTCCATTACGGACTGCTGTGGGGTGACGCAGCTCAAAGAAGAACATTTATGATCATTTCTTTATCATTTCCTTGAAGTAATAATCATCATATTAATCATTTTGCACTGCAGACGCGGTAGTTCTTCTGCCTTAGCGTCTCAGTCTGATTGCATTTCCATGAAGAAATAATCATAAATATTCTTCCTTGAGCTGCGTCACCCCACTGCAGTCTGTAATGGACTGGCCTGAGGTCTTGCTACAAACAAGCGGCTGCTGGAAGGGAGTAGGTGAGTTGTGTTAAGTCTCTTTGCTGAAGATATCCCTTTCAGATGGGTAGAGTGTGCCTCCCCTCGGTTGCATGTGCATTCATGCAAAACCATATAACAGTGGTAAAATCAAACACAGTATTAAAACTGTTTCTATTTGTTGTTTGCATGTTCTGCCATTAGACCGGTGCAGATTTATCTACTGTAGGTCAGTTTAAAGTCTAGATCAGTGAGAAAATCAGTCTACAAGTGTTCTCTTACTCGGACAAAAGTTATCTCAACAAACTTTATAAAAAAAAAAAAAAAAAGCAGATCTAGATTGCGCTCTGGTATATTATTCACATGAATCCACTGTAAGTAAACACTGTGGAGCAACCCCAAAAGTTTCTGCACCTATTAGTCATTTCGGCCCCATCAATGTTTAAAAATAGAGCCCAGGTTCAGTGATGCCAGAACTTTCCTTTCAAAGTTTGTTCAGACTGACTGTGAAGCACATTCTCAAGGTGATGCAACTGCATGCAAAGTCCACTCAAAGATACGAGCGTGAACAGAAAGTATTTGCTTTCCGTGACAGAAGCTGCAACAAGGATGCAGTGGAGGGAATTTTAAGTGTTTGTCATTTAGGATGAGTTTGAGGAGGACTGAACACTGAGGTGAAAGGAAAACTGAATAATGAGCTGCAGCGAGCATAAATAGTTCAAACTTGCTGTTTGGGTTGAATGAACAAGAGTTATGAAAAAGCCAAAAGTCAGACGCCACAGTTTTTAAAGCACCAGATAATGCGGGAGGCCTCGTGTGTCATCATGTCAGGATTTGTCAAAACATTTTATCTATTGATGCCTCTATCAGTGTAAACTCTACTATCTGCGCCGCTTCATGATGGATTTCTATCTGACTGACAGTTGAATGACTTTGAAGGAGGCAGCACCAGAGGCCATTAAAGTCTGGAAAACATCAGGATTAGGTGTCACAGATTTTAAAAAATCCTTTTAGTGAACACATGTACCTCCAAAATACAGCGAATAAGACTTTCTCACACCAACCAGAGGATTTGTGGTTCAATACGACTGCCGACAACTGCGTACTCTCGCTCCAATTGAAAGTCTTCTACTCCATTTCAGCACTTTGGCTCTTGTCAGCCACCATAGCTAAAAGAGTTCTCCACTCATCAGCTCATATCATGTTACATTGTTCACTTTTGGCCTTGTGTTTGGGAAAAAAAGCTCATGGTTTGTAAAATTTTGTTGAAGTTATGAAACCGTATAAGTGTCTATTCCTGCAGAGTTTCTTTCTGAAAACAAAAATAACAATTTTCTTCAAAGCTGCTTGATAATATTGGCAGAAAATGACATTTAGAGGCTCTGATTTATTGTAAAAAAAAAAATGCT